AAATAATAAACCAGAAGAGTGATTTGGAAAGCCTTTTTATTACGGATTTACAAAAGGGATGTGTCTAACTAATGAAGCTGTTCCTGAGAAGAGACATAGAGAAACTACTGAGGCTATTCCTGAAAGAAGACAAAGAGAAAATAATAAGGAATCAATTTGTGGGACATTATTTGTCAGGATTAAAGTTTAAACTTTTTAAAAGTAAAAAGAAGGTGTATAAAGTGAATCTGTTTGACTATGATTAAAATATAAGTTGTGGTTTCTGGTAGTTACCAATGGGATTTCATTTTGACCAGGACTGAAGGATGAGGTTTTTAGGATTTGCGTATAGGTGGGGAGGGATTTTTTTTTTTTTTGCTTTATGTTTTAGAGAAAGTGATAAACTGGACTATAAAATGGATTTCTTTGATTAAGGTTAAAATACATGTTATTATTTTTGGTACCCTAAATGAACTTTTGCTGATTAGGGTTGAAAGATGAATTTTTACAGTTTGATTATTGGTAAGAGATGAGATATGGGAAGAAGAGGTATTAAATTACTGAAACTATTTATACTGGGGGGAGGGAGTCATCTTTTATATATCTCTTTTTTTTGCTTTCTTTTTTTTTCTTTTCTCTAGTTCTTTGCACTTCTCTTTCTTCTTTTACTTTTTATAAATTTCCTTAGTTTGTATTAGTTTTTTATTCTTGTATTTGAAAACTCTAATAAAAATTATTATAAAGAAAAGAAAAAGATGACACCCAGGTGTAAGAATGCTGCCATAATACTTTCTTGTATTAAGTAGCATCTGATAGCATTATTGAATACTATACCAGGTTCTCATTTCCACATATTTTCGACAACAGGCTGTATTATTTCAAAATTGATTCCAGAATGATGGTTGAGACTCATGTATAAGTTAAAAAATTGTTTGACACAATAGCAGCATGCATTTTTGCATTGATATACAACAGTTTTATGACTGAGGGCTGCTGTTAACAGGCAAAGAAAAAACTGTGTAGGATAACATCACAAATTGGTGGGGTGGGAGTGGGGGTGTCCTTCATCTGGTCAGTATTTGTATTTTTTCAAAACTATCTCATGCTTATAGACTTTGTATATGTATGGTATGGGTATTAGGAAATGTTCCAGGGCCTGTAAAAAGCAGGAAGGAATCCTGAAACTGAGACTGCGTATTTTGACTTATCATAATGTAGAAGAATACACAACCATTGAGATGACACATAATTAAATAAATTGTGTAATAATTAAATAAAGTTTGTTAACTTGTCAGATATTTCTAGATACTCTAGGGGCAATCTATTCAATATGCCGTATAATTGTATGTGATTTTATAAACATAGCCAGAATAATGGCACTGTCATTCTGGGAAGAAAAATAGCATGAGAATGCTCTAAAGAAGAAGAAAATGCCAGATCTGATCAAACATTTAAGGAAAAATATTACAAAACATGTTTCTATTGTGCATAGTATGATTTTCAGATATTTTTCATCTGTACTATATTTGCAACCTAAAAGAATTAAGTTGTACAAGAATTCTGACTTAAAAGCATTATTTTTAGTATTGTATATAGAAGTAAATATTAATGCATTGTTTCTTCCATCTTTGAGAGTATACATCAATTTCACTCTGGAATTGTTCTATGTATTAGAAATGATTTCAGGAACTAAAATAAATTACAGTAAGAGTTGACTAGAGTTTAGGAACATTATAAAAGATTTGGCATTGTAAAAGATATTTCATTCCTATGTGATGTTTGTGTGAAAGAGAAAGAGAGCACGAGCAGGCACATTTCAAAACTTGCCCTCTGTTATTAAATACTCCAGCTCACCCTTCCCTGTACATTCATCTGTAATGAACACTTTGCAAGTGTCAGAGGGCCTATACAATTGCCAACATACACAATGCACAGGAAATATGGAAACTGTATTAAACCAAGTTTTTGTTTTTTGATCATTAACAAATGATCTTACTTGTAGCAAACAGCTTTTCTTTTATGTTTGACAAAAGGTTGAATAATGCACATTTTACTTTTTTTTGTTGTAGTTCCCAAGGATGGTCTCAAGAGCCAAGCTGCATTTGAAGAAATGAGGGCAAATTATATTAAAGAACTTAGAAAAATGGTAACTAAACATCCAAACAATTCTGGGCAAAGTTGGCAGCGATTTTATCAACTGACAAAGCTCCTGGACTCTATTCATGATGTAAGTAATTTAACTTACAATAAAGATGAATGTATTATAAGAAAGAATCATATAAATAATCCCCCTCAAGCTCTAATAGTTAGAAAAGATGAGATGATACTAGGTCACATTGTATGAAGTTAGTACTGCAGTAATAGCTTCATTGGCAAAATATTTGTTATGGAAAAAGACTGACAAAACATAATATTTTCACATATTTTATCTCTGGTTCACTAGTTGCTGGTAATAACCAATAAAGCGAAGGAGGAATAGACAGATGCATATTAAAACAAAGAATGAATATCGCATGCACTCGTTTCTATTACTAAACACTTCAACCAGTCCCTGTCAAGGATATGTGGGTGGAGGGAATCCACAAACCGTGTTCCAGAATTAACCTTACAAGTCACTGAAAATCAGTTGAAGGCCTTTGTTTAGAATTTCATTGAAATGTGACATGTTTCTGAATTCTTAAAAAATATGGCATGTATGGAACCTAGTTCTCAATTGCTTTCCTTAACATGGAATCTACATTCCTAATTTCTGAGTAATCTGTTCAAAGCCCTTGCTGAGTATGGTGACTTGTGAAACAGTGTCTTCAGTATTCCAAAGGTCTTATAAACAGCTTTGAACATAATGAGTTGGTTATATGACTATAGTACTACACTAATTTAGATGACAATAACTGTTGTAAATTCTTTTATTTCCCAGTACAAATTAGATTTTTGTTTTTGCAGTTTTATTGAACTGCCAGTTACATGAGGATATTTGCAGATATCTCTTTAAAAGCTGTTAAATTGCTTAGCAAAAATAAAGAAAATTCTCTGCCCCATTCTTGCTAGCATAGAAGCAGTGAAATACACTTTTAATATACTGCTCAGAAACTTTGGCCTTGGTGTGCAAGAGGTTGCATATAAATGTGTCTCCTTGTACTTAACTGGCTTATTTATGAACACGCAGTACAGTATGGTGCATTTCAGGTCAGATCTGTATGAAAGCCTGAGGTTTGTTTACGGAACATACATATGGAATTATTTCTGGGTAATGTGCTGTTAATTAAAACACTGAAAAATCTTGGTGGGAGTCAGAGTATTATTAGTACTGCAGTAACAGCTCATTCTTTAAAGACTTGCTTTTGCTTTGAGGAGGAGAATCATTGGTTTTTTGTTTTTTGTTTTGTTCAACATCAGCTTGCTGTGCAAACCAGATTAAACATTTCTGGATTAAAGCTAGTAGAGTTTCATTGAAACTATCCAAATATTTAACTAGGTTATGTAGCAGGCTGGCTGAAACTTGGGATCGTGTATGCATGTGTGTTGGGTGTTATGATCCACATCAATAAAATATTGTCATGTACTTTAAGAGTCAGAATTATGTGTACTTTTCATGCATATTTGGACTGGTTTTAAGACGTCTCTAAGAGGAAACCAAAGCTCCTGTAGGTGTTGGTAGATGCTCTTACAAATAATTTTCATTGTGGTACTACCCTTTATATTTGGGGAAAAGTATATCAGTAATGGGTCAAAACTGGGAGAAAATTCTTATTCTCCATTAACATTCCCTATCACCTCCACCTGAACGTAGAAAGTTACTGATTGAAAGGATCTCCTCTTCAAAATGTCTGTGTCACTGGGAAATTTTGGCAGTGAGAAAACTGATCTTCTGAGATTGAAAATATCTTTGGGAAAATTGTCTTTCACTTTGGTTTAGGATAGTATATATTTCAGAGAATAAGTTATTACTATAGTGCCTTCAGTGCATATGTTATATAGTGCTAGTGGTTCCCTACAATTACAGTGCATTCGGAAAGTATTCAGACCCCCTTCACTTTTTTCAATTTTGTTATGTT